GGTGAGAGAGGCGCGGTTTGACGATAAGCATTTCCTCAACAAATTTCCAGTGGGTGTGCGCTCGTTTGGTCTGGGTGATACCATGGTGATACCACCTACGCCACTCAACAAAATAGAAGCTAATTAGTAGGCTGAAATTTTGAATTTGAAAGTTAGTTGAAGAAGTTTAATTTTAGCGCAACTGAATTTGGAGTGAATGATAAAAAAAAACACTAATTTGAAGTATAATTTACCTAGTAAACCAAGCATTTGCGGCCCCTATGATTTCCCCCGACAGGGGGCTGATTCCCCCGACCAGTGGCGGCGCTACGGAGGGGGAGGGGTAGGGTTTTGGGGGTCTTCTTCCATCTCCGTCGGGGAGAAAAAAGACAGTTCGTCGGGGAGAAAAAAAAATTATATGTATTTTTACTAGTAAATAGACTCTATAATCGATTAAATAAGCCTTTGAAACTCGACTCCTAAATGTTCATATTTTCGGGGTGCTTCACCCCTTGGACCACCTTCTAGTGGTTTTAGCGACGCCCGACCACGCCTACTTGGATCACTCAAAAGTATGACAATCAGGAGTTTCAAAGGCTTATTTAATAGATTTTAGACTCTCTTATATAGATAATAGGCCTACATTTTGACAAATTGTGTGGTTTTTCTCCCCGACGAATTGTGGTTTTTCTCCCCGAACTGTGGATTGGGGGAGGGGATATAGGTTCCCAACGGGGCTGTAGTCCCCTAGCACCCCGTAGCGCCACTCTGCCAAGGTATCCTTTCTTATTAAAATGTTACTAACTATCAAATTAGAGATTCGGAAGAAACAACGAGATATCCCCTCCCCCACGGTCCGTCCGTCCCTCTTGTTTAGAGTTATGAAAATAAATGATTAGTGTGTAATTACCTTTCCAATGACCCCATGCATTACTATGATTTAAGTGGCACGTCGGCCATCTTGAAATTTAAAATGGCGGTCCAACCCTAATCCTAGGCCTATCTGTTGTAGAATGTGTGTACCAAATATGATGATTTTATCAAAATCTGAACGATTTATGTGCCTTAGAGCCTGTACAAAAGTAACCTAATATTATGACAGCGCGGAGGCTAATTTTGCTATTGACCACATTATTTTATCCAGTAATCAAAATCATAGGAGTCAACTGAGTGCTATGTATTTTTTAATTTGTTGATGTGACAGAATCGTTAATAAAAAAGTGTTTAAAATAGTATATTGTTACTAAAAATATACCTAATACATTACGGCAGTGTCAAATGAAGGAAGATTCTAGTAAAATTGCAAATATATTTTGATTAATTGATAATTTTAATTTGTTCTAATATAGCGCAGTATGAAACTATTAGACGCTCAGTATATCGTCTGTTATTAAACTTTAATAAATATGCCAATCATTAAATTGAAATAATAAATAGGTATTTTTAGAAGAAAGAAATTGAATGACTTAAATATAGAAAGGACGCGATCCAAGTAATATTGATTTTCCAAGAAAATTCTTTAGCGGCTGAGTACTAGGACGAATAATGGGTGGAATATGAAAATATGATTTTTACTTGGGGGCGCTATAACTATGACTCAAAACAAAAAACAATAAACAAAACCACATGTGTAGGAGAAACGAATAGGATATACTAAGTGCTGAGAGACACTTTACAATATGTAACGCAAGATATTAACGTAAGTTCTTTGATTTTGAAAGCTATAATTCTCACTGTTTATTAAAGTAAATGTATAGATGTAATGCAAGACATATATAATTGTAGTAGACCTCTAGGCTTCCTAGGCCCGGCCCTACCGCTACCGCCGCTAGTGTAAGTAAGCCCTGCTTGCTGCAGTGAGTAAGCGCGTAGACTGGTGCCCAGTGGCGGTTGGGTTTTTAATGGCTTGTGCTTAGAGGAACGACTTATTGAAAGCATTATATTTCTTATTTATGATTCTATATTTCTAGGGGGCCTGTTGCGTTAAATAAAAAATTAATTTTTTTAATTAATTAAAATTTAATTAATTATTTTTTTCGCAATGCCTTCCTGGACCTGGGTTAAAGGGGTGCAGTCGTTGCCATCATCTAGTTGACACCTCCCCCACCCCACCCTCTTAATTTCTTAAGAAAAATAATTGTTATACAATTAATGCCCGTAAGGTTTTGATGGTATGAAAGAGCAATTTCCAGGCACCAGCTGCAGGTCCTGTCTCTTCTCCCGGAAATCGGAACAAACTTCTGTACTCATCCAAGCAAGCAAGAATATTCCTGGAAATAACCCCCTCAAATTCATTTGCATGTTTTCAATAATTTTTTTTTTTTCTCTTTTGTGTGGATTTCACCCACCTTTATTTCTTTCATTTTTGTGTCTACTACCCCCAACGGGGCGTAGACACTATGTCATGATGTAGCAATTAAAGATGGCGGAAAAACATAAATCCTGTTTAGGCATGATGGGTACGACTACCACCAGGTAGGAGGTGCTCTATTGACAATCAAATTGCGTTCTGAACTCGAACAAATTTGCGTTTGAAATTCGAACACGCGTTATAGAGACGCAGCACGCGTTCGCCACAAACGCCTTTTACCCTTATTTTAAGGACGCCCTCTAGAACAAGCTAGTACTCTTCGTGATAATAGTACTAGTAACGTGGTAACTCCAAGAGTTACAGTTACTCATTTTTAAAGTGTTTTTAGTTTGATATAGTAGTAGGCCTATACAGAATATTGTTATGAAAGAAAATTTTCATGAAAAATTCAGATACACTACAATAATACACACATCTGCATATTGAAGAACATAAGATAAAATTAATAAGCAAAAACTCCTGTATAAGGCAGTAGACACACACTCCCGCTGGGAGCCTAATTTTTTTTTTGTCATCAAAGACATAAGAATAACAAGAACATGAAAAACTAAAATTCAATTGCACTGAAAATGTGGTCAGTCCGCTATGGCTGACTAGATAAATTACAACTTTTATTTTCTAAATAATTTAATTATTTCTTTTTTAGGGGCCATAAGGTATTGTCACTGAAGTAAAAAATATAAACATTCAGAATTAATTAATATCTCAAAACATTCAGAATTGTATATATGACCACGCATATACATACCTGTACGCATATTATTATCATATGCACATACATACACCTTTAATAATAATTATTTAAATTTTATTTATATTTATTTATTTCATTTCATCAGACCAACAGCGAATCATCGCCACTAACAGGCTGGTAAAATATATAAAATTTAAATACGGTATATCAAATATATAGACGAAAGAGTACAAAAACCAAAAAAACATTGTGATAAAGATAGATTATGTTTTCAAAATCAGTAAAATTATAATTAATTATATAATAAAAGAATTTGTAAAAAAATAAATAAAAATAATAATATATAAAATAAAATAACAAATAAATTATTAAAATGCAGCAAGAAAAAAAAAACAATCACAAAAAAAATTGAAAAGGTTGTAAAAAAAGTTTAAACATATCAAATAATATTGAAATCAATTGTCGTATCACTTGAAGTTTACTCATCAGTACAGTCGTACTGTAAAAGAATTTGTAAAAAAATAAATAAAAATAATAAATATATAAAATAAAATGACAAATAAATTAATAAAATGCAGCAAGAAAACAAAACAATCACAAAAAAAATTGAAAAAGTTGTAAAAAAAGTTTAAACATATCAAATAATATTGAGATCAATTGTCATCATTTAGATCACTTGAAGTTTACTCATCAGTACAGTCGTACTGGTTCTGGCCTAATAAGATAACAATGTAGGGAAAAAGCATCACGTTTTGAACATTTTCAAGCATGGGTGGCATTGGCAGTTCTAGCTGAGCCTACTACTACTACTATTATATGATACCGTAAAAATGGCAGAAAAAACTATCTTTTGTTTTTGGCATTTTTTAAAACAAAATCGGCATCAGGGATGTAGCGTTGTGTTCGTTGTCAATAGAAAACTTAAGGTAAAAAGCCTCCCCTCCCTCCACCTGCTCCCCACATCCTGATCTATCACCAGTGGTGGCGCCAGGATCTCTCCGACAGGGGTACAAGATCCCGGGGAGCTGATATCCCCATCGAGAAAAAAGTGGGTGTGGTCGGGCGTCGCTAAAAACCTTTGGAAAAAAATATGACAATTTATGAGTTTCAAAGGCTTATTTATTCAATTTTGGTAAATTTTTTTTCCTCCCCGACGAATTGTGGTTTTTCTTCCCGACAGGGCCTGTAGTCCCCCATATTCCCGCGCAGTGCCACCACTAGCCTGTCTATCACATCAGAAAGCGACAGTAGGGAAATAGCTAGGATTTTTGTATTTCTTGAGAGAATTTGAAGAGATTAAGGGATGAGGTGCCATTGTCAACCGATGATTAATAACATTATAAACGCTTTCTGTCTTTGCAGGTATTTGTCAGCTTGGTATAAACGCAAAACCTCAGCACTACTGGATTTCTTGTTTTCTTTTAATAATTTGAATGTTGTTATCAAGGTATGTAATTTATACACAGTTATTAATTTAAAATAATATTACTTGCTATTTTAGTGTCCTTTTTTAATTCTGATTTTACAGAACATATTTTAATTCTGATGCCTAATGGTAGTTTAGGAACCTAAACTGGTGGTAACTCTGTCGGCTGAACCAGTGGTAGCCACTGTGTGGGAGCTGAACCGTGGTAATCTGTTGGTCCCCGGTTCAATTCAACTATTAAATATCTTAAACCTTAAGCACAGTGGCGGATTTAGAGGGGGGGGGGGGCGTAAGGGGCTACGCCCCCTATATTTTTTTGTAAAAAAATGTTTTGTAAAGCTTATCAGAAAATTACCATGCTAAATATTAAAAATCAATCAAATATAAACTCAAATTAATGAAGGTGCTAGAGGTTTAAGGGAGAATCTTCCCTTGCACCCCTACCAGGGGCTCTTTCCTGAGATTCTCACTTGGTTCGGACATTCACTCCCCCTCTTTCTTACTGGGCTGGATCCGCCCCTGTTAAGCACACATAAATATTTAAATCAATCCGTTATTATATATTATATAATGGTCGTGATATAATATTTTTATATATCCCGACCCACCAACCACCCCTACCCTGCTATGTTGTTATAACACTTATTATTCATGAGATGGGGGTTATGATGTTACTGTTTAGGCTTTGTAATATTTTGCATACGTAAAATCCATAAAACTATTCTTTCTTGTTTTTAGTGATTTAATCTGTTGTTTTACATTGTTTAGCACTGAAAAACAACATATTTCTGTTGTCTTACAGTGCTTTGCATTAGTAAACAACAGATAAAGTTTTTTTTTTTTTATTTTTCTAGTCTTAAGTGGTGTAAGGTTTACCATTAAGAATTAATTACTTTATATCAGGTGTGTCTGTGGTGCAATGGTTAGTGATGCTGCATTCAGACCTTAAGGTTGGGGGTTGAAATCCAGGGAAGTTTTTTATTTTTTTTTGCCAATTTTGCCAAAAAAAATTAAAAAAAAATCACCTAAATTTAAAAAAAAAAAAAAAAAAAAATAAAAAAAAATAGAAAACAAAACAGTTTTATGTAATCAACCCAGATAAGGGCATGAATTATAATAAATTGATAATTAAATTGATAAATTGACTAACGACATACCGTTATTTTTCTAGTCTTAAGTGGTGTAAGGTTTACCATTTAGAATTAATTACTTTATATCAGATGTGTCTGTGGTGCAATGGTTAGTGATACTGCATTCAGACCTTAAGGTTGGGGGTTCAAATCCAGGGAAGTTTTTTATTTTTTTATGCTAATTTTGCCAAAAAAATAAAAAAAATTCACCTAAATTTAAAAAAAAAAAAAAATTGTATGACCTCTCAGTGGCGTCAATCCGTTACGCCCTGTCCGAGACTCCCGTCCTTTCCGTGGCACCTGTCCAAGACACCTGCCCTGTCCGTGGCGCCTGTCCGTGGCGCCTGTCCGAGACGCCCGCCCTGTCCGTGGCGCCTGTCCGAGGCTCCTGTCCGAGACGCCCGCCCTGTCCGTGGCGCCTGTCCGAGACGCCCGCCCTGTCCGTAGCCTTTTCCGTACCGAGTGCCTGTCCGTAGTGAGACTTGAACCTATGTACCATGTTTAGGAAGCAGAGCGTCTACCTCCAAGCCAACTGTCTCACTTAAAAGACTATGTTAATTTCTAAGTGTTAAACCACACTTAATGTTTACTTTAAAAAAAAAAAAGTTTTTGAGACTTGAACCTGACAACCTTAGGGTTATAGTCTGTACGACTAACCACTGAGCTAACCAAGTGGATCTGAGAGAGTGTGTTAATTTCTAAGTGTTAAACCACACTTAATTAATGTTTACTTTAAAAAACAAAAAATAAATAAAAATTTTGTGTGACTTGAACCTGGTAACTTCAGGGTCATAGTCTATAACACTAACCATCTAGCTAACCAAGTGAATGTGAGAGAGTGTGTTAATTTGTGGATGGTAAACGACATTTTTTCAAAGCTAATGAATATTCATGTTAAAATGTAAATTTATTACAAGTGCTTTAATAGCGCCCTCTGTGTTACTCTTTATTTATTTTTTTTTTCTAAAAAAAATGGTGTAATATGGATGAAATGTATGCAGCGCCCTCAAATGTTTGAATTTATATAGACCAGTTTATGGTTGAGTAAATTCCGCAGTTAACCGGTGTCGTAATTAACTAATGAATATTCATATTCATTCATATTTTATCAAATGCATGTAGCGCCCTCAAATGTATCCTTACTTTTAATTTATATAGACCAGTTTATGGTTCAGTAATTTCCGCAGTAAACTGGTGTCATAATTAACTCATAATAATAATAATATGTCGTTCTTATGCCTTTACAAAGCCTCTAAGCGCTTTACATAATGAATATTCAAATTTACTATATAGCGCCCTCAATTTTATCCCTACTTTAAGTTGTGATTTTTTTTAAATTGTTTGTAAACATGTTATTGCGATTGCTGTATTATTAATTACCACTGGTAAACTAACTACTGAATATTCATATTTACTAGGTGGCGCCCTCAATTTCATCTCTACTTTTTTGAAATGTAAGAGTTCTAACCACTGAATATTCATATTTACTAAGCAAATTTACGACCATTTATTTGTGTAGCGCCCTCAATTTCATCACTACTTTGAATCAAAGCTTTGAATTTATAATTGCAGTTGTGAATGTTATTGTGGTGGTGGTTTTATTGCTGAATAATTTCCACTGTAAACTGGTGTCATAATTAATTATTATGTAGCGCCCTCAATTTTATCCCTACTTTGTTCAAATTTATAATGATAGATTTAATCACTGAATATTCATATTTTCTAAGCAAATTTTTGACCGGGTTGTGTAGCGCCCTCAATTTTTTTACTACTTCGTTTGAATTTATAATACAGTACTGTATATACAAAACCAGTTCTGCATATTTTTGCGATTGTCGTATTTATTGCTGATTAATTCCACTGTCAACTGGTGTTGCAAGTAACTAATGAATATTCATGTTATTTGTTATGTAGCGCCCTCAATTTTACTTTACTCCTATTTTGTTTGAATTAAGAAAATAATTAAACCAGTTGTACATCTTTTTATGATTCTCTTATTGCTGATTTATTTCACTGTAAACTGGTGTCGTAATTTACTACTGAATATTCATATTTTCCAATAATAATAATTGTAAGGACCTGTTTGCTTTTCTACACCCTGGTAATTGAATGTTATTATGTAGCGCCCTCAAATTCATCCATAATTTAATTCAGTCCAGTTGTGCATGTTATTGGGATTTGTCTTACGGCTGATTAATTTCCTCTATAAATTGTTCTCGTAATTTACTACTGATGATTCATATTACTGTGTAGTGCCCTCAATTTTTCTCTAATTTATTTGAATTTGCAATGTAATTGAGACCAGTTGTGCATGTTATTGTGATTGTCTTATTTCTGATTAATTTCAGAATGTTAATTAAAGCCATACAGACTGAAATAATTAGTCAGTTTCATTATTTGTAATTCATTTGATTTATTTTTATTTTATTAAATTCAATCATCAACCAACAGAGGTAGAAAATACATACAAAGAATAATTCTAAGCTTAAACGAGAATAAAACTATTATCAAAATATAAATTTTTACCTCAACAACTTAAATTACTAAATTTAACTGCTAATCTTTGAAATAAACGTCAAAATGCTAATATTTAAAGCTACTAACTAATCTTTGAAATAAAATTTACAGTATAATGAGGTCATTTCTTAGCTAAAATATTTAAAAAACCTAAATTTGTATGCTATCTATATACAATGGGTCTGACTTGGGCAAATAATAACTGAACAATTCCCTAGAAACAGACTAACAGTTGTTTTACACAATAATTTTTCCAAATCATGCCCATTGAACTTAAGTCAATTTTACATTGGTCTGTCTCAAAATTAGTCTAATAAACTTTAGTCTATATTTAAGAATAAAATTAGGAAGTGTAAAAATAGCTTTTACAGTCATGAGATAAATTTATTGACATTTTAAAGGATTTGAGACCAGGTCATTAACAAGAGCTCCACATTCAGTTTTACCAAAAAAAAAAATACAATTATTACTACCATTTAGGAAATTACCTTTTAGTTTATATCAATATAAAATTAAATTTATATCCCTGAGAATTTAACTATTTATTATTCAATATTTTAAGTATATTTTTTATCAAAAATTTTCTTCAGTGTAAGATGCTTCTTTTGCTATTTCTTTATCTGGCTCCCATTGACCTCCAGATGACCTTCAAGATGAAGACTATTATTATGCCTCGCAATCTGAAATTGAAAACAAGTTAAAATTGCAACTGATTATAAAAGCATGGAAAAATAGTAAAACATATTGAATTAAAAGAAAGAGGGTGCTAATAAAAAGAAATGGCACATAAAACAATACGGAAACTAATTATCAAATGGCCATAGTGAGTGTGCCCAGAATAGTGTCATATTTGGTACAATACACACAACATTTACAAATAAGACCCAGACGTAAACAAAATAAACACTGGAAAACAAGAAGCAGCAGTAAAACAGAATAAGATTTGGAAAAAACATAAATAATTATAATAATAAAAGTAACAGTACAGTAATAGGACCAAGACTTTGTCACCTAAGAATGGAAAATGCCTTGTTTCTTCTCTTTATAAAGAGATTCCATACAAGATAATCCCCATCAATATATGTTGACAGATTCCCGACAATTTATAATTTGAAATGCTTATTTACTAAATTTTATAATCTCACATTCCGTAAAAATTATACTGAATGCTTTTTCCTCCCCGACAAAGGTTTTTATCCTTTACGTGAAATCCTGGCACCTGCCCCCATCACCTTCACTGATGCCGCCATTATAAGGAATCTTTTTTGTGATTATATACCATATTATTTGTACGATCATTTGTTTTTTTTTTATTTGTCTGTCTTTCTTGAACTAAAATTAAAAAGCAATTCCTACCTTAGGTCTACATATTTTTTGTGTTCCGGAGAGTTGTCAATCTGCTGTCTTTTCCATGTATTATGTAGTTGGTGTAACTGAAATAAATGAAATGATATTATAGGACTGAATTCAAATAAGTAAATCATATATTATTATTTATTTATTTATTATTATTATTATTTATATAATTTATGACGCCTGAGGAAAATTAAGCAGCCTGATTGGTCATAATATAAAATGTTCTTTTATGATTGAGGGCGCTTCGCAGTAAATGTTCTGCTTTTTACCTTTGCGTGGAGGTTTCGTGAACGTAAATCACAGTAGAATATCTCTTTAGTTGTGGCTATCACTCTGTTTTTGACTTTTTTGGACAAGGACATTTTTTAGTGCCAGATGTGCTAAAAATTCTGTAAGTAGACTTTAACAAATTGAAAAATTACAGTTACTTCTGCCAGGGGCATATGACCGGTTGAGCCGCCGACAAGTTGAGCCGCCGGTAATTTCTATGGAATGCCAAGCGCGTCTCTCAGTGAATGTAGTGCGTCTCTCAGTGTGAATGAACCCCCCGGATACCAGCTACATATTCATCCCACAGTCTTGTCAGTCATTGATTTGCTCGTATTGCCGTTCGTGATGTATAATTTGTGTCATTGAAAATTAGAATTTTGATTATTTTATGTACTACATTTTTATAGAAATAAATGAAGTTGTATAATTGCAAAATCGTATTAAAAATTTAATAACTTGATTATTTTTAATGTGTTTATTTACGTTTGGTTTGCGGCGTATTTCAATTAACTTATTATTAATAATAAAACAGTAAGAAGTAAAATTAGTAAAACCAATTTGATTTTAAATAGACAAATGACTATAATCAATAAATTTAAATGTGTTAGGCCTATGTTATTATTACTATGGTTTTGTAATTTATATATTTTTATTTTTGTACTATTTGTAAAACTTATATATAATAAATGATAAGAATGTATGGAGTTTTTTTTTTACTATCTTGCAAGCCGCCTGAATTAGACAGATGACTATAAACAATAAATTTAAATGTGTTAGGCCTATGTTATTAAATAAATTGAAATAATTGAGTACATAAACTGAAATACATCCCAAACAACAGTACCAAGAACGAATAAGTTAATTGAAATACGCCGCAATTAACGCACTACATTCACTGAGAGACGCGCTTGGCGTTCCATAGAAATGACCGGCGGCTCAACTTGTCGGCGGCTCAACCGGTCATAATCCCTGCCAGGCCGCCTAGGCCTAGAATAAAGCCCTACAATAAGCGCCACCAGACTGGGGACAGAAGCATTCCGGCTGGCCAGTCGGCATTGGATTTTGATTGGCCTAGGTTGATAAAGCATTAGAAGGCCAGCTTACGACGCTGACTCTGAACTTGCTAGTTTTTAGAGGCTAACCTAGGACTACTGCATAATACATTGGTTATATATTGGGATTTGGTCAAAGCATAGCTTTTGTGCAAAATTTGGCATGGCGCGAAAATCGGCCCTTATTTTCCGAAATGCGCGGACGGATTTCTTGTAGGCCTAGGCCTAATTGTTGCATGGAGGATTCCCTGCGTAGGCCGTACTTTACAGTCTGGTTGTAGTGTATCCAATTGCTTGAAATGGCATCAATCAAATAAATAACCTCTAACTAGGCCTAGGTCCTAGGCAGGGTATTTTTGCCATCTAACAAGAAAAAGAAGCCAGAGTTGAAAACCAATAAATCTGTGTGATAGTAGTTGTAATAAGGCAATATTACTTGTTGAAGATGATAAAGTTAAACATGCGAAGTTTGTAAATTCACATATACTAATTCATTAAAAATGGAATATAGTGATCCTAATGCCGTTAATGTTATCAAATTTTTGTCCTAGAGTATTTTTTTTTCTGAATGTCTAAAAATAAACCTCTGAGGCATTTTTAGGGAGAATCAATTATTTCTTTTTTCGCTTTCCAAAAAGGGAGGAGGGGGGGTTTCCCTCTAAATGCACCCCTGCCTCGATGAAGGTACCAGAAAAAAATCTCTGGTAGATTCGGGGTAAAAGGGGGGGGGGGGGGTTAAAGGGGGGGGGGGGCGTTATTTGATAGGCAAATTTATTTTTTTAGCACACCAATAAGGTACAGTACTTTGAAAGTTTGCTGAATATATAGGGCTATCACAAAAGTTGACAAAAAGTATTTTCTTTTTAATTCTGAACGATATCGGGGGTGGGGAGCTAGCAGTGTTTTACTAGATTACAGTACAGTATACTAAAAATTGGCTTGGGGCCCGATTGTCCACACCAGTTAGGCCCGATCCTCTGTCACCCAAAGTTTTCACCGCGATATATCAAGAACGTACACGATTTAGGCCGTAGGCTAGGCTAGCCTTGCTTCCGAGATTAAACCTTCACTCTGCTCTACAACACAAGTATGTACACCGTGTAAGAGTTACAAAGCGACCTACGCGCAGGGGGCCCTCCTCCGTTGTGGATAAAAAGCACAATTCGTCGGGGAGAAAAAAAATTATATGTATTTTCTACATATTAGTAGACTCTAAAATCGATTAAATAAGCTTTTGAAACCCCTAAATTGTTAAAATTTTTGGGGGTTTCGCCCCCTGGACCACTTTCGAAACCTTTTAATAGAAGCTCGACCACACCCATTTTGCTTTCGTCGGGGAAATCTGACCCCTCAAATGTATTTTACATTTAAAGACACCCTATTGCAGTATGAAAACTGACTTATGTATATAATCTATTTTTTTTAAATTAAAATATATACCAGTAATATATTTACATATATACTGTATGACAGCATTTATTTCAACAATTATTTTGGTTAATTTTTTACATTTTCTAATCTTTTACAGATATGAAGAGAAGAGTTGACTGAAAGATACAAGAAACTAATGTCTTAACCAACATTCAACCATAATGAAATATATATTTTATATTATATAATGATAAAAAATGACGTCATCACTCTGTACCCATCTGCAAGAAGCCAAGATGCTTTTCAGATTTATTTTAACGTAATCTAAGTATTAGAAACGTAATCAAAGTATTAGAAACGTGTCAGTAATGTTAACATATGAATACAATATCTTTAACAGTAATTCAAATACTGTACGTAATTGATTGATGAATTAGATAGGCCTATGGTATATGTATTGTATTAATAAATTTATTCTGTATGCCGGCAAAGAATGGTACAGAGACTAGAAGACTAGAGGTACAGGTAAGTGGGTTGGTTATTTACTCAAAGATCTTATAACAAAATAGCGCTCTCACCTATTTGTAAGCGTAATGCATGAAAGACTCGTAAAACTGCACCTTCTGCAAAAAATAATACAAAGCAAAACTTATTTACTGTGCTGAATTTTATAAATGGCGCTCCCTCCAAAACCTACACGTACTCGTAATGCACAGAAAATTTTTACGGAACTGGGGATAAAAAGCCAAATTTGTTTTACTGAATGTTTTGTAGCACTCCTCCAAAAAAAGAAAAATGCTAAGGCAAATTCTTTTACTGAATTTTATATAGAGCTCATTACAAAAACCTTATTTGTACACATGCAATAAAAACTTTCATCCCAATTTGTTAACTACTGGCAAACTTTAAAGGAACTGCACCCTGTGCAAAGAAAAGTATGTGCAGCCAATTTTGTTTACTAAATTAAGATATGGTTCCTCCAATAATCTGTTAGTTGCATAATTCATTGAAAATTTCATGAGACCAAAAAATTGTTATTTTATATAGGTCTCCCTCCAAAACTTATTTGTACGGATAATGAAATCAGACCTGCACATTGCAAAAATACTATTGCGAGTTTGTTACAAGATCTTTGAGCTACATTGCATTAGGTGCCCCCAAATTAGCTGTTGACGGTAAAGAGCGCCCTCTATGGAGGTAGAGGGCACTTTGACGTGAGCAGTGCCTCATTTGATTTGGGGGCGCTATTTAATGCAGGAACCCTCAAAATGTAAATAAGGGATTTTATTTAGGGGGCAGTATATTATATAAACATTGCAATGATACAAGGAATAAATAAAGGCAAGAGAATTTGAATCAATTTTGTGTTGTACAGTATTTATTCGACTAGCAAACTTAAAAAAAAAAAAATGCACTTCTCCGCAACCCCTACAGCCCCACCAACGAGTTCACCTGACTCGAATACACAGCAAGTACTACCTCAAGTCATGCCCACTACCACTGCCAAGCAGCAAGAGTGCCCGAAGAAACCTGCAAAGTTCTCAATACAAGCTACAAGTCCAATGTAAATTACAAGATGAGTAAATTACCTGTGAGAACCCTATACCCAAGATGGACGACAACCAATGCAAGATCGCAAACCCTCTTCCCAATCTTTGCCAAGGATAGGAATTATATTTTTAATAATTAAATGATTAGTATTAAAGAATTTTCAAATATGAATGATTTTCGAATTAGATTAAATTTAGCATTATTAAAGTTACTAAATAATTATTTAAATGAATTAACATGTTATTTTATTAAATTAACATGAATTATTTATTGGTTTAGACTGAATTTAGTATTGGCTGCTAAAGAATTAATTTTTTAGAATTATTTTAATGCAATTTTAAAATTAAATAAATTTAAGTTAAGATTTTTTTTAAAAAACTTGGAAATTAGTTTTGCATATATTTTAATTACTTTAAAGCAGGTATTGAATAAAATTAATTTAAAATTATATTATTATTAAATGCTTTAAATAATTCGGAAACAAATTTAGAGTATATTTATGATCAAATTTCGTATCAAAAGCTATAGGACTTAAACTGGCGTCAGGATATAAATTTACAAGTGCTTTTGGTTGCCTAGATTACACTCAGGAAACAACATTAACTGTGCAGTACAGAACTAAATTTGGTTGCAAACAATTTGATATGGTTGGCACCTCTGGTAATACTAAACCTAAGCATCGTGTTCTGAACAGCAGCTCTTCAGCCATACCCTGCCTGAATCGATCGCTCTTTATATCACTGCTGGCACCAAATATTGCTAATTATAGGAGAAGTCATATTTTTCTATTTATTATTTAGTAAATAAATTAGTGTCAAGTATAATTCTATCTAAAACCATCCTATTAAAATATATTAATTCTATTACAATCATCCTATTTTCAAATTATAATGTTTAAAATCTAGTTACAAAATTTTAAAAATTATTAATTAGAAAAACCTTTAAAATGACTTAGTTGGGTTAAGGTTTTTTGTTTATTAAGGTCTATATTTATATTGATTAAATGCTGTGTATATATGATGTACTTTACCAAAGCAGAATTTTGTTTGAAAGGATATAAATATTTGATTTTTAACTACAGTATTTATTTGAATAAACGCCCCTCCCCCTCCAAAGCCTCATTTGGCATCATAAATACCTCCCTCAAATTTTTCTAACCTGGTTAGGATTAATAAATCTTTAACATCATTCAATAACACATTTTGACTGTATCCATATGATGTATAATTCTATCTAAAACCATCCTATTAAAATATATTAATTCTATTACAATCATCCTATTTTCAAATTATAATGTTTAAAATCTAGTTACAAAATTTTAAAAATTATTAATTAGAAAAACCTTTAAAATGACTTAGTTGGGTTAAGGTTTTTTGTTTATTAAGGTCTATATTTATATTGATTAAATGCTGTGTATATATGATGTACTTTACCAAAGCAGAATTTTGTTTGAAAGGATATAAATATTTGAATTTTTAACTACAGTATTTATTTGAATAAATGCCCCTCCCCCTCCAAAGCCTCATTTGGCATCATAAATACCTCCCTCAAATTTTTCTAACCTGGTTAGGATTAATAAATCATTAACATATTTCAATAACACATTTTGACTGTATCCATATGATGTTGTTCCACATTTACTGGGAAATTAAGAGGCGTTTATTCGAATAAATACTGTATATAATTTTTTAAGAAAGTATTTTTATTATGTTATTAGATATTTTCATTATGTTTATACTTTTTAGTGTACAGGTTTATAGCATACTATTACAGTATTATTATTATTAACATTTCCAATTCAATAGTTATGTTTAAAATTTATGTATATGATTTACATTAAAATCTTGATTATTTTAGTACTTACATATTTTGATTATTTAATATTTTGAACTCTGTTTAATTGAAGAGATTTGATCTGTAAGTTTACAAATTCTTTTATGTTACATGGGTAGATTACATAAAACTGGTTTCGTTTTCTATCTGTATTCCAAGTGCATTATAAGCAAATGTCATATGTACTATAAAGCAACTTGACCATTTAACTGCTGAAGTTACAATTATTATGTTAGATGTAATTAAATTTAAACATTTAAATTAAATTTATTTACTTTCAGCATTTAGTTATTTTTTCTAATATAGCTAATATTCCTATATTTGATTATGCACATTTTTTTAAAATATTAATTCTTAAAAGAAATGTGTGTATTTCAGTATCTTTCAATTTATTTTATTCAATAGTGGGAATATGTATTAGACATAAGCGTTAATAAGTATTATCAATTTATTACACGGTATGTCGTTAGTCAATTTATCAATTTAATTATCAATTTATTATAATTCATGCCCTTATCTGGGTTGATTACATAAAACTGTTTTGTTTTCTATTTATCTGTATTGCAAGTGCATTATAAGCAAATGTCATATTCACTATAAATATTAATTCTTAAAAGAAATTTGTGTATTTCAGCATCTTTTAAATTATTTTATTCAATAGTGGAAATATGTATTAGATATAAGTGTTAATAAGTATTATCAATTTATTATAATTTGTGAATTTAATTTACTTTTAATGATTTGCTTTGGTAGAGCACACCACACAAACACAAAAGACTGTATAATATTGATTATTGATGGGTGATGTTGAATATGTATAACTAATGTAACAAGAAATTTGGTTATTATTATTATTTTTTTAATTATAATTAAAGACTTCTCCTTGATTATTTTTAAAACTATTTCCAATACATACACTATCTAAAGAGTAACAGCCTAACTTTACTTTTAAAATGTTATTGTCAAAATATTAAATTCATTTGTGTGTGTTTATGTTAGTTTTGTAATATGATTGCTCATATAAGGATGTCATATTATATCATCATGCCCTTATATGGGCAACAAATTATTAATGCAAATATTATTTCTAGATTGATTTGTGTTAATTAAAATATAAGTTAATTTTATATCAAATTATATTTTTAAATGATTTTATACATCTATTCTGTCTTCTATTTTAATTTGTTTAAGGATACAGACACCTTTAAGGTTTGCGCACAAAGAAGTTAATTTAAAATTGACTGGTTTAATTATTATTATTATTATGTTAAATCAAAGTTATAATTCAAAAATAATTTTATAATTTTTCAATTAATTAGAAATACTGAATTTAACATGTGTGTGTGCCCTATTTACAGATATATTTGTTTATGCAAATAGAAATTTATTTTGATTAATTAAAAATATAATTTTGTAATTATATTAAAATTATCATTCTATTAAATTAATTGTATCTAAAGGGTTAATATTTGAAATATTTATGTTCTGTAATCTTTTTAAAGTTATTCTTAATATTATCTAAATTGCTACACAATACATCATATTATATTATCGTGCCCTTATATGGGCAACAACTTATTAATGCAAATTTTATTTCTAGATTGATTTGCGTTAATTAAAGTATAAGTTAATTTTATATCAAATTATATTTTTAAATAATTTTATACATCTATTCTGTGTTCTATTTTAATTTGTTTAAGGTTACAGACAAGGTTTGCACACAAAGAAGTTAATTCAAAATTGACTGGTTTAATTATTATTATTATGTTAAATCAAAGTTATAATTTAAAAATCATTTTATAATTTTCAATCAATTTGAAATACTGAATTCAACTATGTGTGTGTGCCCTATTTACAGATATATTTTATTATACAAATAGACATTTATTTTAATTGATTAATTTTGTAATTATATTAAAAGTAATATTCTATTAAATTAATTGTATCTAAAGGGTTGATATTTGAAATATTTTTATATATATTTCAATATCTAAAATTATGTAGTATTTATGTTCTGTAATCTTCTAAGTGCATCTAATCATTTTTGAATAATATTATCATTATTTTTATTATATTCCAAAGCCCATTACTAGATAAATATATATTATAATAAATTATTTCTATATCTTAAGTTAAATTTATTTGAAGTTATAGATTTTTAATGATTTTTTACTTTTATTAAGTTAAAATAAAGTTAAAATTTTAAAAGTTATTTTACAATTTTCAATCAATCCAAAATACTGTATTTAACAATGTGTGTGTTCTGTTTAATTTAAATATCTTTTAATATGCAAATACAAATTTAATTTTAATTGATAAATCTAATATATTATTTTGTAATTATCTTTGATTATTATCATTATCATTTTTATATATTATATTATATAAAATTTGTTAATAATACATTATTTCTATGTTCTATCCTCTCTGATATATGTATTAGCATATCAATAATTTATTCTTTCTATTAAATTAACATTATTATGGTCTAAAAGTTTTAATAATTTGAAACAAAAGAAAAACTATTTAAAACAATTGATACAGATTTAACATTTATTGCATATTTTAATTTCTAAACAATTTAAATTTTTTGATTAGGTGACACATTAGGTGATGAACTGTTTATGAGTGTTGTATTTATTGCAGTATTGAACAAATATATTTATACCACTACAAGTATTACTTGTTACTCTTTGTATTTAGAAGATTTACCTACCCTATTCATGCCAGAAGACAGCCTTTAATTAAAATATGTATAATTACATATTATATACAATTTATTGTACTATTATTTATTACATGTTTTTAAAACTCAAAGGCATCTAGCATATGCACAATATCAAATTGAAACTATAATTATTTTCTTTATTATTGTTACTCTTTGCATTTTGTGGAATCATCTACCCTGTTTATGCTAGAAGTCAGCCTTTTAATTATGTATAATTATATCTATACAATTTATTGTACTATTATTTATTTATTATGTTTTAAAAACATAAAGGCATCTAGCATATGCATGATATCCAATTGAAACTGTTAACTATTACCATCATTATTATTGCTATTAATATTTCTATTATTATTCAATAATTTGGTGCCAACTCAAAAAAGCTACAATTCAGATACACATCGTGACAACAGAAGTACAACCTTGGCCAAGCTGGCATACTTTCCTAAACTTAGCGAAAAATATTAGCAGATATTGCCTAACCGCCAAAAGGAAAACAGTATTCTTCTGTATACACTTAAAATGTCTCCTGAGGAAACTAACATGTTATTTTAGTGAAAAAAGACCACAAACTGAAACCAGCTATAATTTTTAGTTAACTCCTTGGCATTGACGAGGTCGAACGTTTACACTGATGATGGTCTACCCACACAAGCTAACACCACGTCAGGAAAAGGATTCTCACAGATATTTTACCCACAAAGCAATTTACAAAGGAAATGTAACTTGTAAAAAGAACTTTACAGAATTTCAACAAAGCAAACTCACCACTCAGCAGCAGCAACGAGCACAACAAGAAGCAAGTACCGCCATGCAGCAAAGCAGGATCAGCCCGTCAGTGTAATGGGGCATGCAGGAGGTTGCGGAGAAGTGCATTGTACAATGTTTTAACTTTTTGAGAGAATACTGAAAAAAAAAACCATAGCATGCATCAAACTACAAATTATTATAACAATTGGATATAAAGGAAGTGGAATTTCAAAATTATTTTTTTCATAAAAAAGAATTTGGATTTAACAATTTACATGGTTGTAGTAAAATAGTTGTTTCTCCAAAATGAATTTAATAATTGAATTAAAAGCAATTAAAATTTTGCAAATAATAAAGAAAATTTATATCAATTTACTTTTTTATAAATACAGGAAAAAACACATTTCGAATTTATATAATAAATTCCAATTAAAAATAAAATTTAATTTGTAAATTTAAAAATCTTGTTAATTTGGTATTGGATTCGAAATTAAAAATTATAATTTAACCATAATGTTTAAAAAAAGAATTGAAGTTGGAACAGATTACAATTAATGTAATTTAAATTTGATTAATGGAGTGAATTAAAATTTGAAATTTTTAAATATAATTTATACATCTATTTGAAATTCCACTTTAACAATGTGTAGAAAATATCACTGTTAATCTACAAAGATACCAGTTGTTGTCTATCACGTGTTACGGATGCGGGTGAAGGATTACCAACAAGAACTTCAGCTGCCTCACCAATTACAAATACATACAGTGACGACTTGCGAATTCACAGTGGATCTGCAAAAACAAACAATTATAAAACTGAAGAGAAGCTGTATCAGCACAAGTCTAATTTACAAGTTATTTTTTAAATTAAAAAATACAATAAATACAGTAATATCTCAAGCAATTCCAGCAATTTTGCTTGCAGGCACATTCCACAAATATAAGACCCCACATTCAAGATTTTAGACAAAACATGGAATTGCTTTATGGACCACGAGGACTGCCCATGTTCATAGATGAAGAACAAACTAAAGTATTAACACAGTAAGCACAAAAGCAAATAACCCACAGGCTAAAAAAAAAACATAGGCAAGGAGAATCTTGGCCACAGGTAGAACTGGTTGATTTTGCATGCGCCCACTGCCTGCAGTGTAAACACATGCACCGTTTTAAACAAATCTAACTGCCTGTCATCAGTACACAGTACATTAAATCTCAGTTTACACTACCTACATCAGTGGTTTGTCAATGTGAAACATACAAAGAAAAAATCTCACCATCTTTCCAAACATCTGGTTCTTCATCACTGTCATTGGGTGCCATCTTTAACTGCTCCTCCTCAACATTATCTGCATCAATATCGCAAGGTGGTGATGACGTGTGGTACCACTCAGTTGCTACTCTTCCCAACAATCTAATGCATTTTTTCTTATTTAATTAAGCTAACTTACTATATAGTATTTGTAGTTTGATACATACAATAAAAATGTGATGCATGACCACCTACTTAAAAGTCATTTACATTTGTACAGCAAAATGCAATAATAGTACAATTTAGAATAATTTTTTTTACATTTAATGACACATTTTAATTGTGTTAATCTTGAATCAATTTTGAATTTTAAAAAAAAAATCATTTTTCCCGAAAACATGTTAGGTTTACAATTTTGAAAATTTGATGGAAAAAATAGATTTTTTTAAATGAATTTTTTTAAAATTTATAAAAGAAATACTTTCCATCTTTGAGTCTTTCATATATAGATACATAATTGTAAACACAATTTTGTTTTTCTAATAAGACTAATTTTATTATGAAAATTTATGAAAAATCTTGGTAGAAAAGGTCATATCACAATATGAATGTCTCAAATCAGTAGAAGGGAGTTATATTATTCTTTTACTTTATATATTATTTTATGATTATTTTACATTACTTTATGATACATAACCTACATTTAGATAAGTCTATATTATTCATTAATATCATATTTTTATTCATATTCATTATCATTTAGAAATATTCTTATTTATAATTAGTTATATTTAATTTTTAATTTTTGAATGAATAATATAATTTTACATTTAGTAGAGTATTTATGTTCATTATTATTTATATTTTTGGAATTAACAATTTCAGGTATAAAACAAAGGCAAATGTTATTTTAATGATAATCATTAATTACAATAACAATTTGGAGCATTGTTTGTTTACACAAATGCAATTTATACAAATAATTACTATTATTTTAAATAAATAAATATAGTTTAAAATGTTTTATATAATTCTATCCAATTTTTCAAACTGAGCTTTTTATATTCATAATTATTATTTTTAGGTTTTTATAATTGTTATTGAAATTTGGGGCTTTTGACAACATTATCATTTACATCAATAATATTAAGTTGAAAATGTTACAATTATTATTTTAAATTCTTAACTTCAAAAATGCAAATAATTAATCCCTTCAGCCAGATTTTTTGTGAGACAACAAAAAAAAAACTGTTTAAAATTTGTTTACACCGGAAAAGAAAAAGAACCTCATCAGCAAAACCAAAACAATTACATTTAAATTTGAAGTATATTAAATGTTTTCTAAATTTTGCAAGATTATTAATTTCATTTTCTTTTTGATTGATTGAAATTTAGTAGAAAAATTCATCCAAAATATTTGAAGTTGTTTTGAACTACTTCATAGCTACACAACTACAATTTAATATTTAGTGCAAACAAAATAATTTTGTAAAAGTAAACCAAAAAGTAATGAAAGTGAAATGAATAGGAATACTCAATCAGAAATTTTATATCAAATTAATTTAAATGAAATGTCTGTCTTGTTCCTTGCTAATGAGGATTTGCTAAACTAAACGACATGGAAAATGGAGACATTATGTAATTACCTGAAAGCACAATAATTAATGCACACACTGGATTTGCTGTTTGTAAAATTTTGCAGCATAGCCAATTAGAAATATTTTAAACAATTTCAAATTTAATGTAGGTGTATAAATTTCAAATAAAATAAAAAATTTGGAAATTTAAAATTTATGTTGGTACTAAAATCGTGACATGTAATTATGGAAAAACAAAGATTATTAAAATTTTCAATCTAAAGGATGTTTTGATCCTTCAGAGATTAACACTACATACAATGTTTAAAGATCTTACAAGAAATTTTTGAAAACAAGTGTAATTAGTTTGTGTTCATTTTCTGAAGTATAATATTATATATATACTGTAAACAATGGATATACATACACCTTTGAAAAAAGTTATTTATCAAAACATGAAATAGGAGAATCTTATTTCCTCGAATACAATTTTTAAGAATGTTTAATTAAATTTTCACAAGATTTGTAGTGGTAAATAACTTTTTTTTAAATTAAATGCTATTGAATGCTTTAGTTATGTATAAACAAAAATCGTGTTCTCCTTTTCCATATTTGGTAAGATAATATACAATTTATAACAAAAGAAAATATTCTACCTATCAGAAGCACCACAATGTCATATGTTCACAATATATTTATAACACAAGTTTTGTTGTGTTTTTGAATTGGCCAATTCAAAAATGCATACTGCACAAATTAGATGTTTATTTACTATCTAAATTATAAAGCACAGTGATAAATTGTATTTAAGCCAAAAGAAAAACATCAATTTGAAATTTATATAACATTTTCCCAAATTCAATTTTGAATAAGAAATTTAACAGTACTTCAGATAAATTTACAAATTTACAGTTTAAACCTATTTAATCATCAACGCTTACTTAAAAACATCACTTAATCTAGATTTTAGCAACATATGAAAATGGAGGTGAATCTTACACATTGTGTAGTCACAAGATTTGTTTAACAGAAGGATATTAGAAGTAAATATTTCTTAATTTCAATTGAATTAATGTTAATCATGCCACAACATGAATTTTAAGGGAGCTATCTATTTTATAACAATAAAGAATTCTGAATTAATATTTGTCTCAATGAAAATGAAATATTTTCCAAAAATAATGACATACTTATAACTTTCTCCATTTTCATATTATTATTAGTGAATAAAATTTCCATGAAATGAAAAATTCACTAGCATACAATGACGATTGAATTGAACATTTCCTACTATTCAGAATTTGTTTAAAATTATTGTTTTATGCTAGAAAAAAAGCAAAGAATTAACATAATTAGATTAAATTTTTGAAATCTCCATTGCGTTTTTGATCAGTTTAGGTTACAGATTTCCGGAAATGTTCAGTTTCAATTTAAATTCTAAGACTTTTAATTCAATGACTCAACTCAAGCTGTGTGGAAACCGAATGCTTATCATCATCAGTGGTGTGGTATCATGCACCATTGGTACTCATCACTGGTGTGGTATATTGCATCATTGGTCCTCATCAGTGGTGTGGTATCATGCACCATTGGTCCTCATCAGTGGTGTGGTATCATGCACCATTGGTCCTCATCAGTGGTGTGGTATCATGCACCATTGGTCCTCATCAGTGGTGTAGTATCATGCACCATTGGTGCTCATCACTGGTGTGGTATCTTGCACCATTGGTCCTCATCTGTGGTGTGGTATCATGCACCATTGCTCCTCATCAGTGGTGTGGTATCATGCACCATTGGTCCTCATCAGTGGTGTGGTACCTTGCACGATTGGTCCTCATCAGTTTTGTGGTATAGTGGTGTGGTATCTCTGCACCATTGCTGCTCATCAGTGGTATGGTATCTTGCACTTCTTCATCAGTGGTGTGTGGTACCTCACACAATTGTTCCTCTCCTGGGATGATAATGAAATAAAAAAAATGTAGAAACCTTTCTAACAAACATAAACTTGTACATGTATATACCAGGATGAAAGCGGTAAACAGTGTTGTAAGATTAGATACTAAAATTTCCAAAAGGCAGTGAGCAGAATGAGGTAATCTTGCCAACTGTGCCATACTGTATACAGGTTAACTCCCAAATTTGGATACTTTCTGTAAGATCTCATAGTTTGATTACAAAATGAGCAATGAATGTTAAAATGTTACCTCCTCTTCTTTGGGATAATGGGTTGAATTGAAGTGAACTGGTAGAGGAGCTCAATGATTATGTGAGGCCAGGCCCGGGGCTACCGAGAGGGGGAGGGCAATATCCCCAGGGGCCGGCAATATCCCCGGGGGCCAAGCTTACCAGCGCCCAGGGGCCCATAGAAATTGCAGGTAATAATTTTTCCATATTTTTATCAAAAATAATAATTACTCTCATGGGCCCTCAATAATGGCTTGGGCCCCTAATAATAGGCTCCTCCAGATTGACAGGCCTTCTTTGCCCCGGGTCGGCCCTGTTTGTTACAGTTTACCTCTTCTTGATGGCGGCCCTCCCCTGTGTGAGGTGCCAAATGAACAACAGTGTAGCCTAGACAAATGATGCGAATCGCCAATTAATTACTCAACACGCATTTATTACTTAGCGATGGAGGTCATACTTAAGCCAAGCAAGAAGGCCTTGGCCTACTCATACTTCGAACCAAACCACGAAGTGTCCGTGGCCAGCCGAGGTGGTGGTGTCAATTTTCAAGCTCAACAACAACAAGAAGTGGCCTAGCCTCTAGAGTAGTAGGCCTAACTAAGTAGCTTTCTGGCCCTATGCCTACTAGGCCTATATTTTATATATACACTAAACTAACTAGTCTCGGATCCTTAAATAATTACTTACCATGCTGACGTTAAATCTGAAGCATTTAGATTTTAAAAATATAGAAATAAATATCGAAACATAAAGCACATGCTTTTATATAATAGAGGGCAGCAGACAATCAAAACAATGGGCTTATTCGACTGGTCATTTCGTTGAGTACGAATTAGACTTCGTTGACAACGAAAATTAACGTAACCAGAATGCGTTAATCAGCGTTAAGTTATGCACGTGACCAAAAAAATATGGCCGATTGGTCAGTTTAGCAACAACATTTGCGTTAATATAATTTAGATGAAATTTCAGAAAATAAAAATTATAATATTACCCACATTGAAGTCAAAAAATAATTGTAGTTTAACAGAATTCAAAAACGGGATGAAAACATTTTTTTTTACGAAAAAACCATAACGCCACAATCTGAAGCAGCCTTGATTACGCAGCGTGTATCGCGGTAACTATGCAGCCATTTTGTTTTGTCGAGTATTTACCAGTTTTCTGGTCGTTCTCGTTAAATAGGATTTTTTTTTTTTTTTCTTTTTTTCTTTTTTTTTACTGCGCAGGTTGGCGTGGTTTAACGAAGAACGGTATCGAATACTGCCATTCATCAAAATGTATAGAGGGCAGCAAACATTACGATTGTAATAGCGTTTCTCAGTACTGTAGGCCTACTAGCTTACATTATTTTTAGAATAAAATTTGTATTTTCTTTCCGTCCTCCTCTGACGATTTTAAAGAAAATAAGTCCCAACAAGGTATAAAAGGAAGTCTCTCGGTTTTGGTCCGGAAATACGCATCACCGCACTTGGAAAGCCAAGGTGAATAGACAATGATTCGTAATATAGTCATGCGTAATTGTTATTGGCTTTCCATAGCTAAAGTGTGGGGTTTTAATTATAGAAGATTGGTCAAAAGTTGGGGGGGGGGCAGGGGACAATTTATACGTACGTGACGTACATCATCCATGTGGTCGATCCGGGTGGGGTACAGGGGGAGGGGCACACGTCCTCCACTTTTTAAAGTAGGGGACATCATATAAATTGTCCCTAGCTCCCCCCAACTTTTGACCAATCTTCTTGTTTAAGCAAATGGTTTTTGAAAAAAAACATCCACATGGAGTAGGAAAAAAAATATTGGTGAATTGTGAAGTAATGAAGTGGTTAAATGCTTTAAATTTATATAATTAGGATAAATATTGTATATATGATCTTATTGTTGGTGATTTCAAGGCAGCGGCGGGCGCAATAAAAAAAATCAATTTTTTCGTGTCGGAGTGTGTGCTAATTGGCCAAAAATAAAATTTCATTTTTATTCAAAATCATCATTATTGGTGGGCGGGTTTATTCGAACTTTTAAAACACCTTTGAACAGCTTCAATTGCCAAAAAATTACCACTTTCTCCAGAGACAATTATAATACGCTAACTCACTCAGCAGCAAGCAGGCCATATATCATAAATAAGACTAGGATAGTATCATACTCAGTCCGTCTCAGGCTCAGCTACTAGCTACGGGATAGGTCTGCAGCTAAAAGTATAAGCCTTACATTTATCAATACATTGTATACATTTTCATTAATGAACAGTAGTATTTAGAGGTATTGAGACTATTATAACTTTAGAAATACAGAAACTTGCCTTATAATCTTGTGATTATTATGTATAATATCTCAGCGCTTTTTGTTTCTCTGGCTTAGTTACACACATGTGGTTTTGTTTATTGTTTTTGTTTTGAGCCATTGAAATAGCGCCGCCAAACAACTAAACAATTCACAGTTTCAATATTCATGAAAGACGTCACCCCAAGAAGCCACACCTCCTTCAATTGAAGTCGTCAGATATTTAGAATCTCCTGTATCCTTAGCTAAAGAAATTTATGAAAATTCAATATAGTTGGATTGTGCGTATTAGCTTTCAATTGAAAATTATTTTGGAAAATATGATTAATCATGCCAAAGAAAGTAGGGCATTACTTTCCCTTTTCTATACGGTATAGGGTAGGCCTATAAGCCCAGTTCAAATACGCTGAAATGGCCGGGGCTCTTTCCCCAGGGTTGCAGGGCCCCGAAAAAGCCTTAGCTGGGGTCTCAGACCTCTTTGTTATGCCACACGCATATTGAGTAGGCCGTCGTTTTCCCAAGTCTGGTACTCTCACGATTAACCCTTCAGATAGCATTCCACGCGTGGCGCCTCGGAGAACTTCCCCCTCCCCCAACCTCGGTAGGAGAAACAACAATTTGTTGGAAAAAAGAAAACATATTTTAGATATTAGTAAACCTTAAAATTATTTTTAAGCCTTTGAAACGTCTAAATTGTCATAGCGACAGATTTTAAAAGAAGGGCCCTCCCCACCGACATCGCTTTCGTCGGGGATATCGATTTTTTACCCTTCCATTTTTCGGTTTTTTGTGTGTGAAAAACGTACGGACGCTAAAAATGTGTTCTGCGACGGCTGACCCTACGAATAAAGAGTCAGCAGAAAAACCACTAGGTGACTCATAGCACAATTTTGGCAAAAACGCAATGTGTATAATAAATGATAGTCACGGTTTTTGGCAATATTCGACGATAATAATTTTACCCTTCCATATTCTGGTTGGGTTCTGTGTTCCGTGCGCCGCACCTACGGATCCATAAGCTTGCAACCCCACTATCATCAAAGATCTTATAAACACAAGATAGCGTTCTCCGCGATTTACGCGTAACAAATAGAAGCGTCGGTCAAGGTTCAAATTGCACGCGTAAATCCCGGAGAACGCTATCTTGTGTTTATAAGATCTTTGCTATCATTAACAAAATAGGCTTAATTTGGGTATCAATTCACAATATTAAATGCTATGAAATAACGTCAAAGGAGGTTAATTCAAACAAAATCGGTATTTTCATGATCATATAATATGAAAATAAATATTATTGTTATTGTTATTAAGGTTATGCAGCTGCACACTATACACACTTACAGTATCTCTTGCTGATTATTAGCAATGAAATTAAGAGAACATAAAATTACAATCCATATTTATGATTAAAATTCCAACCACAATACACTTTGAATAAACATACGCACCGCTGACAATTGTAGAACCACGCCCCTGAAATGCGATAGGCCCATATAATAATACTGACAGTGAAATTATTACGTTATCCGAACGCTCTGACCAACCAATACACAGCAATTATTTATGTCTACTGGCCTTAGCCAACCGACGCTCGTCACCAAAATTAGAAATATTAATGGTTCTAATTATACTGAAATTATGTATAAGAAGTGATATTCGATAATGTTTTTGGAATGTGTGTAAATTTAACTACATTCGGAGTGAATAAGTGACCAATAGACACGTTTTGTCGTGGTCAATTTCCTTGTCAGTGTGGTAAATTTCATTGTCAGATGTATGGTTCATCCTTGATTATACCATAGTATATATTATTTACTTGTATCTTCCATGATGCGCGGAAACATGTCAAAAATCAAGAACAATCAACTGATGATACATCAGCCGCAATAACAAACAAAAAAACTACCGGTAAGTCATTGGCAACGCCTGCGGGTACGTGGACAAGATAGGTCCAACCATTTTGGGGCTGATGTGGGTTTGGAAAATGTAGTGGCATTACTAAGAGTCTTGAACTATGACTAATTGAGGGGAGGCGTTAGCGAGTGAAGTGGTGGTGTGGTTGGGAGGGGGCGACTAGCGCCTCGCGCATTCCTCTAGATACACGCCACTGTTCCGTTTTAGAATGATGGATAACATATTGTGATCAGGAAAATGCTGACGTCACGGCTGGTATGATAGTTAGATTCAATATTGTAAACGCAAATGACTGATCCGTTAACTTACTGACAGTGTGGTCTTTCGTTTTTTGTTTTTTGGGGTTTTTTTTTTCAACATTGAAGTTTCGATATGTTCTGTTTAATACCTTGAGAAAAAGAAAAGTTTCCGAATGAGATACCACTTAACCTCATCTCAATTGGTAGAGGACCCAAACGATAATTGTAAGATTTTGTGTCCGAATCTTGATAGGGACATATATTTTTCTTTTAAAAGCTGAATTATTACGATCCTCAACTTATAAAATGTATTGTTTTGTTTAAAAGAATGTGTGTTAATTATACCACGGTTGAAGTGATGTCGTTAGGGCTTAAATGGCTGTTAAGTAACACAGATACACCAGAGTGCCCAGGAAATCTGAACTGAAATTTTAGAATCATTAGTATGAAATACAGGAACATACAACTCCAGGTTGTAACCATTGAGGTGATATTTGACTGGTGTTTTTCGACTCACAAATTGAATTCGAGTTTCATTCTGTACATAATTGACGTTCATAGTGAATTCGGGGATATCCAGTCGAATTTTTCTAAACGGTGGAAAGTCCCCAATGAATCGTATGTATATGAAAAGGAATTGTTTGATAAGATATTTAATTCAAAGGGAGCAGTGTGAAGAAGAATAATATATTATGGTTGATCTAACTAAGTAGGCCTCTATTAATGCAATGTTTGTATGTATAATATTAGGAAAGATTTTTCAATGATCTCTTACTATACTAATCTGCAAATAATAGGCTACGTTGAATATCATGGAATTATTTTTGGTAGGCCTGGGTTGACTTACCTTTACAGAGAGGCAACTCAAACTACTACACAAACAAATGTCAAGTAACTCCATGCACTAACGTTTTTTTTCCATCTGTCTTTATTTAGAAAAGTTGCATCGAAAAATCATATGACAAGACATATTCAGCAAATGCCATCGTTACTATGCTCAGCATAGAGATATAAAATAGACTTCGTTGCAATTTCAATATAATAATTATTAGTGAAATGAAGTTTGAAGAAAACGCGTCAACACCTACTAATTTCGCGTTAACACACGGTGCGCCTCTTACTGGTGCTGGATTAATTTTCACCAATATTTTTGTAGGTATACTGTCAGTTCTAACCATAGGAGGAAATGCTTTAACAATTACTGTATTCGCAAGGAATTCACCTCTTCGCAACAACCCACAGAGCAACCGGCATATCATGAGCCTAGCAGTGGCTGATCTGGGCGTTGGACTAATCCCACTACCACTAATGATTATCATTAACACTTTAGATATTTGGCCGTTCGGACTTGTTCTCTGCATGCTTAAGTCGATAGTAGAGGGAGTTTTTCTAATCGTTACCATATTTACCATTGCATTCATTAGTCTCGATCGTTACTTGCTCGTCCATAGAGAATACCCAGATTATCTGAAATGTCAGACAAAACGACGCGTGCATCTGCAGATCCTGTTTACCTGGGCGTGTGCAGTTGTCGTAATGACAACAAATGAGATTCTGTTTTTTTACCAAGTTGGTCTGGACTCGACGGTCGACTTATTTTGTAACTTCCACACCAATCCGAATACTTTTTCCACTCTATTGCTTCTATTATTTTTACTTTTCATTCCAATGTCAGCAATTGCATATTTTAACGCTAGTACATTTTTTAACATTCGAAAGCGTATACTCAAGAGACGGAGAATAGCTGTCGCTCAGACAACATCTATCGCAAGAATCCCTAGTTTATCTGCAAATCACGATGAAACAGAAACAAGCATGAACCTAACAGATAGGGCGAACCATGGAAATTATCAGGAAGGTGCGAATTGCTCCAACTTTTTTGGCGAAACTAACCAAGAAAACCCTCAAGGACCTCATAACACGTCAGAAAATGCTCGCAAAGATCAAACTGCAAATCCAACAGATGAAAATTACAAATTAGCCTGGCAAAGTGACCAAAAATCTCAAAATGTTGAAAACAAACACGTACCAATTAAACATTCCGACACAAAACCTCAATTTAACAATACCCCAAAAAAGCGAAAGTCAAACGATGACAATTTCAAGCGAAGGTATGTTCGTCCTGCTGTAATGATGGGTGTAATATTATCGACGTTTTTGATTTGCTGGGCTCCTCTTGGTTTAACTGGTGTTATTAAGAATTTTAAGACGGTTTTCGAAGACGACAGACATTGGAAATGGATACACCTTTGCATGTATATGGACTCGGTGTTTAACCCCATACTCTATGCCATTACCAATAAAAAGGTCCGGATAGCTATGATAAAATGCTTACGAAGGAAATGAATGAAAGAGAAACAGTTTTAAGCAGTATTTTAAAGGATAACATTCCGTCCTAATCATGACGAAGTGGTTAATATTAAAATTATTACTTTTCTTTGTAGATTTAATCGATAGATTTATACAAAAATTATTTCTATTAGATAAGTATATAATGCAAAATATTTAATAGCAAACGTGTGAACTTCGTGTCCGTTTTATGCCTAACCAGCAAACGTAGCATTTTAATAATTTACAAACAACGCGCGCTCAGTTTTTCCATACAAAGAGTGTGGATGTAAAATATAATTAGACTAAACCATAGTATGAACAACAATGCTGTGTTTGTTATGCAACCAATCAGTTATTTAGCTCTAATTATTACAAAGACATCAACGAGTGCACCAATGTTAGTTAAAAGAAGCATGGCCATTTAAAAATCTAAATTGTCCGTCATGTCTGGAAATGGTAAATTTTAATTCTTTCCTTTTCTTTCCTTATTTGGCCAATGTTTGCCATGTTCGTGCATGATGTCAGAAAGAGGAGTTATAGTATATTTAGGTTGTAGAGACTGATTTCATTTAGACACATACATTTCAGTGTTTAACGAGGCAAAATTAAGAATAAAAAAAAAACATTTTACCGGCCATCATCATGCTCCATCGATCATCAGTTGGAGTCAGCTGGATCTCGATATTTCAATGGAAATTAATTTTATATTTAATTATACAAATGTCAGAACCGCTACACTTCTAACATAGTTTCAAGTATCGTAAGTAATACATTGTAGGCCTAATTATACTATAATATTATTCTCGAATGTTTTTTTCCCCCGAATTTTACTTACTTCCAGTCCAGGCAATGACTAAACTACGGTTAAAGTATTAGCCAAATGATTACCCATACATTCTCAATAACCTACACATCACTCCGATGTACAACTTGGGTGGGCCATTTATAGCATTGAGATGACAGCTCAATATAGCAATAGACATATAATAACAAAATACAGCCACGGCCATTACTTGAGACAATTATCGTGGCTATAATATTTTCATATACATTATATGTGAACGAATTTAAAATTATGTTCTCGTTTATAATTACAGACTGAAATACCGAACAATATGGAACAACTTTATGATTGTTATTGTTGGAGTCGCTGTGGTTTATTTTAAGAGCACAATACAGAGTTATAGCATATTTCCAATGTTTACATTGCAAAGTAACAATCGGTAATTGTTTGTGTTAAACCATGTAGGTGGTTTTGGAAAAACATTGTTGAGACACTTTCAACAACAACAGCTCTTTTCATAACGGCCAACAAGGTGTACCGTAAACATTTAGTGTGATGGTAATTTTGTATTTATGGCTGTAAACTGTATTGATGTTGGGAAGGCTGCTGCTACTACTACTACTACTTAAACCAGCCAGTCATTTTAAAGATGCAATCTGTTATAGCGCATAAACGGAGTCGAGTCTCAATGCGCTGTTAGATAAAAAGTTTTAAAAAAAAATTAAAAAAAAGATGTGTTTTTAGACGGTAGTTGAACATGTTGCGAGAAGGGGAATTGCGAACTTCAAGAGGCAGGGAATTCCATAGTAATGTCGCAGCAACAGAAAATGCGTCAACGTAAGATTTCAATCGACTAGATGAAGATGGTTCATACTCTAGGGAGGGGAGACGGGGAACAACTTAACGTCAGCATTTTATTTGTCACCGAAATTATCACTTAGTTAGAAGTGGCTGCTTATCAGTAGGCCGAGAAGGTATACCGGTAGTGTTTCCAAATTCAGATTTCCATCATCCTTGTTCATAAGTTTCATATTAGGCCTGTCTTATCCATGATTTGATCATCATTATCAGTAGTATAAATATAATCTTTGTCATTTCAATTAATTGCTCACACGTTTGTGCACCAGGAAATATAATAAGGTGCTTTGGTATAGGCCTATATATTTATTTATTTAGCAGTGTTATATTACGGATAAAGTACGTGAGCAGTGATTTGAAGCTACATAAATATTAGATTAATGGTCATAGTGGTAGTGGCAAAATTGTTATGGTGGTGGTGGTATAATATATTAATAGGCTACATGGCAGCCTTAGAATATTATATAGATCTAGGCTTACTAAAAATTATGCAAAGTATATTCTTGCCAAAATTTATTGCTAGACCATGCTCAGATCAGTTAGTTTAAAATATTAGCCTGCTCGAAAGAGTATATAATTGTATATATCCGATCAGTATAGATAGCTTCCTTCGTGGACATAAAATCGATTTAGAATATATGAAGAAGACACTATGAAGACAATTACTCGGGGTAGTCTTAC